AGGGTCAGCGCGCTGTCTCCTCTCCCATCCTGAGATCAATCGGTTGGCTGTGACATTGGGGATTGAATCCAGGGCCTTTTCACTGAGCTATATCCCCAGCCCTTTTTAGTGTTTTATTTTGAGATCAGGCCTTGTGAAATTGTGCCTAGGCAGGATGTGACCTCGCCATCTTTCTGCCTTGTTTTCCAAAGCTCTGGGATTACAGATGTGCACCACCGAGTTGGCTGTCTTCTTTCCCACTGAGCTGAGAACTCAAATCATCCGAAGAGAAATTCTGTGATCTGCTGCCCTGACAACCTGCATGGGGCTGACTGCTCTACCTTCCCTGGCGTGGTCCTGAGTGTACCCTGGATTTCGGCCTGGGACCCATTCAAGGGTAGAATGTTCTCCTCACTCCTGCCATCCCGGTGTAGCTATTCCCAGCTGAGTCCCTGTTTCAGAGGCTCCTGACACAGGGTTCACCTCCTCTTCCTGGACACGCCACCTTTAGGGGTAATCAGGAGTCCCCACCCTGGGCGCCTCCAGCTTGAGGCACCCGTCTCAGTCTTCTAAACTCTGGGGTGCCCGGGGCTCCATCCTCTCTCCTGCAATTCCCAGTCACCCTGGTCCCACTCTCTCCTCCTTGCCTGAGCCACTGCTTTGGTCTCCCGACTGTCGCAGCCCCCTTGCTCTGCTGACCTCCTTAGCAGTGCAGAGAGACCCTTGCAGGCAGAGCCATGGGGGGCTTCCCCCCAGCCAGGTGAGCAGGGGTGGGGTAGGGGGATCTTGCCACTGACCCAGCAGCCGCCTGACACGATCCGGACCCACCTGTGTCCTGGGGCCTTTGCACTGGCTGCTGGCCCTTCTGCTGGCCCAGTCTTCTCATGGTACCCCCACCCTGCTCTCATCACCCCTGTTAGGCTTTCACTGAACCTCTGTAGTAGGGGCTCCACTTTCCAACACTGTTAGACTGAACTTGTAAACTGACCTCATGCTACCATTTTTCACCTAAAACATGGCAGCTTCGCATGATCCAAACCCACACGCTCTCCTTACTGACCTTTGTCCACCCCTGCCCAGCAGTTGCCCACTACACCTGGGGAACGCAGTCCTGCCATCCTGTGTCCTGTTGTCCTGTGTCCAGTGCACTGGCCCGCGGTGGGTGCCGAGTGACACCTTTCCCAACACTGCCTGGTCCTTACTGTGTCATGGGCATCTGTCCGTGACCTCCCACTGGGTCCCCCATGTCCCTTCCTATCTAGGTCTCTCCCTGGCCAGTGCTATCTATGAGTCCCTGAGACATCTGGTGGCCCCCAAACATGTCTCCAGCACCCAGGGGCTCCATGGGCTGCCATTCAGCCTCAACTTCAGGTGACAGGGAGGGTCTCACTTGAGGCAGGTGCTGTGGACACCACCATCTCCTCATCTTCCTGCTCGGGCAGCTCTGGCCCCAGGACTACAGTCCTGGGAGCTGAAGGCGAAGCTCCTCAGCTGGCAGCCAGCCACAGGTCCCAGGGACCTGCAGGACCAGGGTAGAGACACCTGTGCTTCCATAGCTCCTAGGACCGGCCCTGGCCTGAGCTCCCTTCCTGCCCCATCCTGACCCTCTCTGTTTCTGAGGACCCCCTTACTTTCCCAACCCCACCACTGCAGGCTGTGCTTGGGTCACCTTGGCCCAGATATACCCAGGTCACGAGGCTGAAGCAGCCACCGCTACCGAGGGAGCTGCACAGAGGATGACACCAGGAGTCCAGGGAACGAGATGGCAGTGAAGAATCGAAGCCAGTTGTTTATGTTCAAGGAAGATGAGATGGACATACGGGATCAAATGGCGGGAACCCCTACTTCTGCAGACATTCAGGAAACAGGCTGTCCCCAGGGCACTGTCATGTCCACAGCACAGGAGCAGCTGCTCTGGCTTTCGGCATCTGAGCCTGGGTCCCCCGCAGAGCCCCAGATAACCTGTGTGGTTCTTGATGTCCCCAGCTAAAAGGATGAGTTAGTGGATGTGTCAGTGTCGGCCCCATCCTGGCAGCGCAGAGCCTGTGTCTTAGACACTGGGTGACAGCTGAGGCCAGGGCTCTTTTCTTCTTCTCTACCTTCTCCTCCTCCTCCCCACTCCTTTTCTTTTCTTCCTCTCCTTTTCTTGTTCTTTTTGGTAACGCGTTGAACAACATTTCTAGCCCTGATTTATTTTTATTTATTTTTTGTCTTTTTGAGACAGACTCACAACTGTGCAGTGCGGGCTGAGCTTAAGCTTACTTGGTAGTTTAGACTGGTCTGAAACTTGTGACAATGCTCCTGCCTCTGTCTCTTGAGTGCTGGGGTTACAGGTGTGTGCCACTATGCCTGGCTCTGTTTTTATCTTTACTTTTGAGGTGGTCTCACTAAATCACTAAATTTCCCAGGTTGGACTTGAACTCACCATTCTGCTGCCTAAGCAGGGGAACACAGACCATGGGTGTACTATGCACAGGGGACCCAGGGACAGGCTCCAGGTGGCTGGAACCTCAGCTCCAAAGAAGTAGAGCCAGACATTGATTTGGGTCACCAGTGGGCCCCCCTGAGATCTCTAACATTGGCATCTCCTTGGGGAAAGTGGAAGAAGCAAAGCAGGGCAGGGTAAGGGGCTCTATCAAAATATGCCAACCAGATGGCAAGCAAGGAAATGGGACACTGCAGAGGCAGCTTAGCTGAGGACACCGTCTTCTTCAGTGATGTCCTCAAACGTTCCCACTTCTGAGTTCTGTGGAGGAGGCGTGGCTACGTGACTTGCTTGGCCAGTGAGATGTGAGTGCAGGCAGCCTGCGGCCCTTTGGGCCTAAACTCTTAGACAGTGTAACTCCTCCTGGCTCTTTCCTCTGCTACAGTCATTGCAGAAGTCACATGGAGAAAGAGCCTCCATCGGCCCATGTCTCAGTGACCTTAGACAGAGCTCTCCTGAAGATCTGTCCTGGACAAACGGTGTGATTGCATGTGCTGGCTGAGTCACTGAGAGTTTGAGGCTGTTTGTCACAGCGGCATAACCTTGCCCATCCTGATTGATATCACAGTGCAACTCAACCAACACAGAGATGCATCAAAATCAAGAGCTCAGGAGTGACAAATGGTTTCTAAAATAATAGTAGCTGGGGCTGGGGGTTTAGCTCAGCGGCATAAGCACCTGCCTTGCAAGCAGGCGGTCGTGAGTTCGATCCCTGGTACCGATAAAAATGAAAAAGACAAAAAAAAAAAAAATAAAATAAAATAATAGTAGCTGGGTACAGTGACACACACCTGTGATGCCAGCACTCTGGAGGTGAGGTAGAAAGATCACTGCAAGTTCGGAGCCAGCCTGGGCTACAAAGTGAGCTCAAGGCCAGCATGAGCTGCATAGTGAGACCCTGTCTCAAAAAGACCAAACCCCCCACGACCAAAAAAAAAAGAAAAGAAACTTAGCAGTACTGACCTCTTACTGTCCCCCCCCCCATGGGGCTCTGAAACTCAGTGGAAACTGAACTAGAAATTTATCACTGTATCTAATGATGAAGGAAAAATTCAGTAAGGCTTAGCAGTTCTCTAAGATTGGCTGAATTCTGACACTTTCGTCTCAGGCCATCTTCCTTCAGAAGCGGATTCAGAGACTAAAATCTGACTGTTTCATGGTGACATCAGGGGACAGAGTGACCCCAGGAAATGCAGAGGGGGCAGGAAAGCAAGGCAGAATGAGAAGGAAGGGATCCAGGGGTGGTGAAGACAAAGGGACGCATGGGGGTCATTGGGGACCCAGCCCCACTGGGGAGCGTGTGTCCCTGCCAAGGGGCCAGGAATGGGGTGGCGGCCTCAGGTAAGGCCCTGATAATGTAATAAGACTCTTGAGTTTAAAGCCTGTACTGTGGATTAATATCAAATGAATCATGCAGACCATCAGACTTCAAAGGCTGCATACTGTGTTACCCGTTTATACAGATCTGGAGAAGTGGGAACTACAAGGACAGAAAACAGGCTTGTGCTTGCCAGGGCTGGGTGGGACCAGGACCCCTGGGAGATGAAAGCCTTCCAGATCTTCACTGGGGTGCATTTACTGAGGCTCCTTGAGTCACACCCCCGGAGAAGCTCAGTTTTACCATGTAAAAATTGTAGCTCAGAAACCCAACAGCGAGATCTTAGAAACATTTCTGTCGTGTGCTTTTCGAGCAGGTGGATTCTCCTCCTGAAGGACTTAGTGACCTGCTTCTATCACAGAATACGGCAGAGGTCAGAGAGTAGACTCTCTGATAGAGACCTGTGGCTTCCTGCTCTCTGTCTTTGTCTGTCTGTCTCTCTGTCTGTCTCTCCCCAATCTCAGGGGAAATGAGAGGCACCGAGATGAACAGCCCTGTGCTAAGGATCCCAGGCCCCCAGCCAGCAGCCACATGAGGGAGCCATGTTGGACACAGACCCCAGTCTCCTTTTAGCCCCAATTTGCAGCCTCTTGAGAGACCCTGAGACAAAGCATCCAGCCAAACAATTCAGACTCCTGCCCCTCCGAATCTGAAGCACAGAAAGCAAGCATGGTGGTAAATACCTGTCACCCCAGCATTCAGAAGGCTGAGGCAGGAGGATTGCTGGAAATTCTAGGCCAGTCTGGGTTATACAGTGAGTTCAAGGCCAACCTAAATGACTTGGTGAAAGCCTATCTCAAAAAACATCCCCAAAGAAAGAAAGAAACTGAGACACAAGTTGAAGATTCCTTACCCCAAACGCTTGGATTTAGGTACCCAGAAATGCTTCAAATTTTACAATATTTGCATAGAATTTACTGGCGTCCCTAACCCAAAAATCAAAATCTGAAATTCTCCAGAATTTAAAGTTCCAGTTTGGAACACTTGAGATTCTTGATTTTCAGATCAGGAAACCCCTTTTGGTGATGGCACATCATTTCAAGCTGCTGCTGTGTTTTGTGGTGATTTTTTACACAGAAGAAGCTTGCTGATTCGTGAATTTAAAACTGACTTTCCATTTAAAAGGAAAATTACCCCTTGTGTTATAGAAATGTCTGAAGGGAGCTTGTTGATGTGATAGTTATCTGAAGACAGTAATGGCCATGTCTGGGTAGTGGAATTTTGGGGGTGATTTTCTCATAGTCTTTTTCTGTTTGTTTCTTGGAGGCAGACTCTCACTACAGGGTTTAAGCTGGTCTTGAACTCACTTTGTAGTCCACGCTGGCCTCGAACTCCCAGTGATCCTCCTGCCTCAGCCTCCAAAGTCCTGGGATTCCAAATATGTACCACCTTGCTCAGCCCTTTCCTATTCTTCTCCTGCTTTTAGGATGTGTTTGTGTCAGTAAAGGCAGAAGCACAAATGAAGACCCGTAGCCAGGTGCAGGAGGCCAAGGTGTCATTCACAGGGTGGAGAGGGGGCGGGGCGGTGTCTACAGGAAGCAGGTGCACCACTCCTTCAGACAGGTAGCACTTCTCTGCGCCTCACACTGGGTGGCCCCGAAGCAACAGATGAGCCACTTCTGGAACTCGTCCTCGTCCTTGTGCATCAGAAGGAACTGTCCCAACAGGATGTAGGCCTGCAGGGGACAGGGCGGGGGAGGCCATGCCTGTTGTAATCTGGCAAGGGAAGCAGGTGTGACTCAGGGGCAAAGCCCATGCCCAGCAAGTGCCAGGCTCTGGACTCCACCCTGGACAGGACAGAGGCGGCAGGCGACAGAGCCGGGGTCTGGCACTGGGCATGGCAGCCCATATATGTCATCCAGGGCCTGAGAGGCTGTGGGAGTGGGATTGCAGGGAGTTCGAGGGTAGCTTAGGCAGGGGCCTGGTGCCCTCTGAGGGCCCCTCGAGTCTCTCCTCTACTTTTTGTCCCTCTAAAACACATGTGTACATGCACACACACACACACATACACACAAGGATACTCACACCCATGCACACACGGGACAGGCACGCTCCGCCTGCTCCTCCCATGCTGTCGTTTCTTGGCTGCAGGGTTTCCTGGCTGCATCTCCACTGACTGCTAGACAGTCCATAGTGCAGGGGTCCCGAGCCCTGCAGGGGCTTTCAAAGCACTTAGTCCTTACCTACTGGGAGCTACAGTGTTCTCCCTGCCCTCCCAAGTAGCTAGTCTCACAGATAACCATGCTGCACACAGCCAGAGGGCCCCTTGCTCCTGGGCCTGCCTCTGCTGGGAACCCGTGGGTGTGCAACTGGCAGGCAAAGGGCACCCTGGCACAGTGGCTTTGTGCACCACCTATGTGACCTCAGCTGCTCCACCAATGGACGGGGCCAACAGCAACCAGTTCTCAGCGTCCACGCCTTCTCAAAGCTCATGGTGTGACTCAAACCACAGATGGTAATAATGAGAAAGCTTTGGAAAACTGTAGTTTCCTCCTGAGCCAGGCATAGTGGCACACACCTTCAATCCCAGTGCTCAAGAGGCTGAGGCAGGAGGACCACTGTGAGTTCAAGGCCAGCCTGCGCTACATTTAACAACTGAGCCCCATTCCTGTGGCTAGACCATTTAATGAATCGGTCCCTCTATGACGAATTGTATGTAGTATGAACATTACAATGTTCAGAAGAAAGGAACCTCACGCTGCTAGAGGTGTCTGGTCACAGTGCCTGCCCCTCTCAGCCTCTCCAGGACCCCAGCGTGCCGGGAGCAGAGCCAGTTCTGGGTCTTTCCAAGAACACTGGCTCGCTGGCCTCTGTTGACTCAGTTACGTAAAACAAAGCAAACTTCATCTCCACCAAGGCAAACTTTTTGGTACACAAGTGAAATCAAATAACGGCTGAGTCCTAATCATAAAAAACGGACCCACACTCTGGAGTGCGGGTTACTGTGTTTATTATTTCTTTGCTCTGGCCACGCCAGCCAACCGCCCTGTCGCTGAGCTACACTCCCCGTTGGGGGTTTTATTTTTAGTCATTGCCCCGTTGTGGAAAAGAGAAAAAAATCCAGGATTTCATGGTGATTTTAAACCACTAGTTTGTTCAGTTGCTTAGCATGATGTCATTCTGACTAGTGTCTCCCATCTTTGGCAGTGGATTTTACTGAGATGTTTTTAAATCAGCACTTTAAAAGAACAGACTTCTGTGCCGTGTGCATAGCACCCACCTTCTCTCCTTCCGGTCCCCAAGGCCAGCGCCGTGTCAGTGGTCTGGTGACCACAGCCTCCGTCCTGTCAGGCTGAGAGGCCCTGAGCCAGGACCGCGAGGCAGCAGGACACAGGCGGACTTTCCAGGAATGCTGGAGGCAGCAGGGCTCCCAGCCAAGCTGCAACCTGACACTCTGTCCTCAGCTTTGCTCATCTCAGGCTGGCATCTCCTCCGCCTTTTGCTCCACCCTGCCCCATATCCGCTTGGGTTCCCTGCCAGTTACAGAGTGCAAATCCATAACCATTGGGAAGACACTCTGGCTCCTGGAAACCCGGCTGCAGGAGGCTGCTGTAGAAACAGAGAAACCCTGAGTTGGTGCCTCCGCCTCCCTGTCCCACTGCCCTGGCAGAGCTGGGAAGCCGAACTTGTTCCTGCGGCAAGAAGATGGTGTCTCGAGGCTCCCTACACATCCCCTGACCGTCAAGCATCAAGCATGGGCAGGAGGCTCCCCAGGGGCTTTCCCCAAGCAGAGTGGGAGTGACTCAGTCACCATGTCCATTTGCTTTCCACCATGGTAGGTGTTCTTGTGTGTATGTGACCTGTATGGTCAACCGGATGGAAGAGTCACTGACTTGGTTGGATGCTGTGCTGCTGCCATCTTGAAAGTCTTGAATCCTTTGGCTAAGGGCTTCCCATAGTCCTTTGCCTGGGCCCTGGTCAGCATTCACTGAAACTCTGAGCTTTTAATTGGGCACCCAGGTGCTCAAACAGAGAGAAGTGGTTCAGCGTCCTTCATTCCTAAGCTTCCTACAGTTCCTTTTGCCCAAGTCCCCAGATCGTGCTGTAAGTCTCCGGTACAATGACAAAACTTCTTTGGATTTCTCAGGCTGGTCTTCACGTCCACAGACGCCTCCCCAGAGGCAGCCTCACTGGGCCAGTGTCTGTCAGTCATTTCCGGTTTAACCTCTGCCATTGATGTGAGTGGTGAATGCCTGGCCCTGAGACGCACTTACTGTGAAATCATTAGTTTATCCAAAATTCGCATTTAACAGGACCCCTTGCATTTTTCACAAGGAGACTCTTGACCTCAGACCCTGAACCTAAGTGGCTGACTCCTGCAGGCTCAATGCCAGGCTGACAACAGGTAGGACCTGGGGACTCAGTGGGCAGGGGTAGATGCACGCAGGACCTCCTGGTCCTGGGCTCAGCCTTGGCTTCTCTCCACCAGTGTCAGCAAAGTGACTTTGGCAGGACCAAGGAAGCTGTGGGAAACTGGGGAGTCCAGAGATGCAGGTGTGGAGACAGCAGACAGGCGGGCAGGCAGGGCAAATCCTCAGGACCAAGGGAGGGAGGGCAGCCACGTGTCCAGTGCCTTCTCCTTTCTTCCTGCTTCCCTTTTGGGGAGACCACACCACGGCACTATGTCCCAACCTGCAGCCCTTCCATCATGGTTCATATTCATTTCTGTCACCTGTGGCCTAGAGGGAGTCACATGTGATCTCTCTGCACCTCACTGACTCCATCAGAAGGGCCTGCAACAGTGAACACCACTCACCCCTCTGAGAAGAGCCTTGGGGAGCAGGGGGTGCCCAGGATCTCCACATCACTCCTCCAGCATCTCCCAGTATCTTTTGGCTTCATGGTGGTCCTGGGATGTGGAGACCTTAGAGTCGTGCCATGGACCCTGCCTAGGACTCCTATTCACTGAATGCCAGGATGTCCATCAGGCTGCTGGGAGAATCTGGGGAGGAAGATTCCCTCCCTCACGGGTGAGGGAGCAGGGGACCCACCGCAGTGGAGGCTCTGACCTAAGTAGGGGCTCTCGGACCACCGTCAGGAAAACCGGGCATGGCGCAGACATCTGAGTGAGGAGCTCTGTGATCCGTCTCAGTGAGGGGCTCTGTGAGGAGCAGGTCAACGTGACTGGCTTCGGCACTGATGGAGACACTTCTGGGTGTGTCTGCGGGGAGCACGTGGAGCACGTGGAGGTGTGACTTTGGGTACCACATCTGGTTCCTGGCCACCATGAGCTAAGCTTCTTTGCTCTGCCATGATGCTCCTGCCTTGGAGCCAGCTGCCCATGCATGGAATCCCCTAGAGCCATGAGCCACTTTAAACCCCTCTTCCTCTAAATTGTAGGTATCATGTATTTTGCTCTAGTAATAGGAAGCTGCTCCCACCAAAACCCAAAGTTTTCAGGACAAAGAGCCCACTGGGAACAGTGGCAGAAGAAAGGCTTCCCAGAGGAAGAGCCGGGCGGGGGCCCAGCTATTTCTAGCACACGTGGATGGTGGCTGCTGTCCAGAGCTAGGCCTCAGGCCAAATCCGGGAGGAACAGGCGTGGAGTAAACCAGAGAACATGCGATCATGCCTTCGCCTTTTGAGCTCCCAGAGAGCCTTGGCTGAATCAATGACTTTTGTTTTGTTTGAGACAGGATCTCACTGTGCTGCCCAGCTGCCTGCAGCTGGAATGACAGGTGTGCACCATCCTGCCTTGAAATCAATCACTGTTAAAATCACAATTTAAACTGCAAGCCAGGGGCTCGGTTGTGCTATAGCCAGATCCTGGGGTAGGGGCGGGAGGTGTACACACCCCTTCTGGCTGTGAAAGACTGCAGGGGAAGGAGCAGGGGAGAAGGGACCAGGATCCACCCTACTGGTGAGGGGGTGCGATGCTTCAGTAAAACAGGGTGACCTGGACAGGTCTCATTCCCCTAGGACCTCATTCTCCAGCCTCCTGCATCCTGGCGTCTCTGGAGAGGGCTGGAGGCGAAGGAAGGAGCCAGGCAAGCAGGTCTAAGGGGTCCACAGGACCAGGCAAACAGAGAGGGCAAGAGAGCTGGGCCAGGGACAAGTCCTGGAGAGCAGCTGTGGGCCAGGGCGGCCCAGGCAGTGTTGCTCTCGGCAGACTCCAAGGCTGGCCTAGATCTGAGAGGGGATGGCACAGCCACAATGCAGCAGAGGCCAGGGAAGACAGGACCCCAGGACACCCAAAAAGATGTCCCTCCAGCCAGCCTGAGGTCCCCCAGGCAGAGAATAGCAATGTAGGATCCTAGTTCTTCTTGGCAAAGTCTGAGGTCCTCACCTGCTAGGATCTGCCTGTCCCCGTCTTCCTATTCCTTGCCAGCCCTGCACAGGCCCTCCGTGACCTCTAACTCACCTTGTGGAACCACATCTGGGTCTCCCCCAATAGCCCAGACAGGGAGTCTCTCTCCAACTCCTGACCTAAACTCTCCCTGCCGGGCACGGCCACCTGCATCACCTTGTGTCAAGGGTGAAAATCCAGTCTGCTGCACCCTCATCCCTGCAGGACCTCATGAAGGTGGGAGGTCCCCCACTCTGTCCTCGCTTCTAAGTGGGAGTAGTGACCTTCACCTCAGCACCTGGGGGGAGGAGGGTGGTGGCATTCTTGGTACCACAGCCAGGAGTTACTGGCTTTGGGGATTCAAAGTGCCTTGGGGAGGGGGGGACAGGGCACTACACTGGCCCAGAGGTACACTGACACAAGAGGACCATGTGTCTACGGACCAGGATCCATGTGGTGAGTTCTTGGGGTCCTGAATGTTTTCTGTTTATTTATTTACTTATCATCCCACTCATAATCCTTACGTTAAACAAAGTTAAGCTGGTAAAGCAAAACTACAGAGGCAAGAAACAAGCCGATGGAAGGCTGAGGGGGTGACTCTGGGAGTGCGGGTCCTGCCCTAGGTGCCAGCTGTGGTAATGGCTATGTGACCATGTGTTTGTCAAAGCTTCCAGTGTGATAGAGACTGTAACATCAGCACTGGGAACCTGGAGCAGGAGGATCCCGAGACTGGGGCCAGTTCAGATTCCACAGCAAGAGCCTGTCTCAAAAACCAAGCAAAAGCAGGGCCTAGTGGCACACACATATTATCCCAGCATTAGGGAGGCTGAGGCAGGAGGATCACCTTGAGCTTGAGGCCCTAAGCTATACAGAGAGTTTAAGGCCAGCCTGAACTACATAACCAGGCTCTGTCTCAAAAAGAAAAAACAAAAACACTCAACCAACCAAGCAAGCAAATATTTCATAGAACCGAGTAATAAAAAAGTGAAATTTACCACATTCAAATTGCACCTTAACAAAATATGTTTAAACTGATGGGCGTAGCCGAGCCATAGCAACAACATTCTGCTCTGCAGTGACAGAGGTGTCAAATCTGAGGTTGAAGTCAAAACAGTGCTACCAACCCAGCAGGGGTCTGGAACTAGCTGGGGCAGAGGCCCAAAGAGATGTGTGCAATTCTAGGGACTCAGATGCTGGGTGCGGGGCAGTGACATGGGCACATCTGGCTGAGCCAAACCTAACAGCGCCCTTCCCCCAGCTTGATGAGGTTGTTGGCCGAGTGTGTGGCAGATCTCAGCCACTCTGAATTCTTCCGGTGGCACAGAGGGGTACAGCGTCCTCCATGGTGTAGACCGACTGGAGGGGATGAACAGCCTGGGCAAGCAGCGCTGCATGAGTCCAGGCTGCTGGTGTGCTCACTTCCCTGGCCTTCCAGGCAGATTTTCACAGCATGGATGCCCACGCAGTGGAAGAACTTCTGTACTGCGGTCCAGGTGTGGTTTGAGGTTCACCTGCTGGAGACTTCAGGGGATGGAACCTCCAAGAGGCCAGGCCCAGGGAAGACAGTCTGGCCAGGGCCAGCACCCTGTGAAGGGCTAGACAGTGCTCTTTCTCACAGCGCCTGGTCAGTTTTGCAGGGACAGTTGTTATAAAAAGAGTGAAGATGGAGTCTGGAGGTGTCAGCGGTGGAGCCGCACCGGTGTGAGAATCAGACAGCATCCACAACCTTGAGGAGGAGGAGAGGTGGCATTTTGCTTGCAGTTGGGGCCCAGCTGATGGTCTGGAGCAGCAGGCGAGGCAGAGCTGCTCAGCTCCTGGGGGCCAGGAGGCTGCATGTCAGGACAGTGCTGCAGGGCAAGGGGCAGAGCAGCTGCAGACCCAGGCCCAGCCCTGGGATGCTGATGGATGAGGACTAAAGTCACTGTGTGTCCGCTCTCCAGCACCAAGTCAATAAACAAAGAGACATTGCCAGTCCCCCTCATCCTCTGGCTTCCTGTCCTGTCTGTCCCCTCTCTTTCTCACGTGTGTGCCACCATGATGTCACCCACCACACTGTGACAAGGGCAGCAGGGGCAGTTGGGGCCACCTGTTCCTGGCCCAGGTGCGGCTCCTGGCTGACCCTGCTCCATACCGCATGGGTGCTCTGATAAGGAAGCAGGACACTGAGGGCCCTGTTCCGGGGTGGGGACTGTGCCCACATTACCCGGTGCCAGGTACATGTCCACCCACCCCAAGATCTGTGCACCCTGCCAGCTGCCCGAGCAGACGCCGCCCTTGACTCAGCACCTGCATGCCCAGGTGTGCTTGAGCCCCAGCACCTGGGTCAGCAGCCCTGAAGCACAGGACACCCTGCCAAGTGACAGCTTTGCTCTCTGTGTCCCCTCACAGGGACACATGGCTGGGCTGCCATCTGGCAAGGAGGGGCTGGGGAGGAAAAGCAGAATTACCTTGCTGAACCCTTTGGTGACCAAGTTGATGGCCAGCTCCCGGCCGATCCCGTCCACCCAGCAGACGTCCTTCTCTCCCATGGGCTCTGAGAGGAAGGCTCGCAGCCGAGGAGACACGGGCTCCATGTCCTGCAACGGCAGAGGTCGGGTAGAGGGTTAGGAACCCCTCATGCTAGGCGTGTGTGGTCCCAGGGTCCCTCAGTGGCTCTCGGGAATGGAGGACTTGTGAATGCAAGTGTGGCCCTGGATGAAGCTCTGAGCCTTTCGCTGCCACCTCGGTGACCCAACAGTGCTGCCCTCATGGCTGCAGAGAAGTCAAATAAAACCCTGAGACAGCTCAGATGTGAGGGTAAGGACTGGGCAGGGTCTGGTCTTCTCCAGGGGCCCACGCAGTGCTTCGACAGCTGAGGAACCTGCCTCCCCTCAGCCCGACACTTGTCACACTTCCACTTGAGCAGCTGAAACACTCTGCTCATTGGTGCACAAACGGTTCCCCCGGACCTCAGCCTGGGGTTTTGGTCCAACCGAGGCTGCCAAGGTCCCTGCGCTTGCACTTCTTCCTGTGTATAAGTTGGATTCAAGGTCAGAAATGAGGGAGCATGGCACTGTCGTCCACCTCCTCTAGCAGTGACAATGAGATCCTGGAGAGCTCTACCACGGCACAGCAGGCAACAACGGCAGGGACAACAAGGGCGTCACAGTAGAATCTGTCTCCAGGGACGGGATGATGGGCATGCGTTCTTCGGTCAGCGCTCATCAGACCCAGCATCCCGATGGGTGGAGACTTGGCCTTGCTAGGAGGCCCGTTTCCAGCTGGGCAGTGGGGGCCGTGTTTGCAGCTGAGGTGCCCTCGGGGCTGATCCTTCCCAGTGGCCACTCTGTCAGTGTCCACTCCTGTTGGGCCACATGGGGCCACGTCCTAGGCAGATCAGCACGTGGTCCTGTTGGTCCGTGGCCCTCAGCAAAGCTGCAGACCAGCTTGGCTGGGTGACCCACGGTGGCCTACCTGACCCTGCTTCAGCCAGCTGCGTCACCTCCCTGAGGTTGCAGGACTGGAGACCAATCGCCATTGCTTTACGCAGGTGGCCCTGGTGATCAGCCCTCTGTGCACAATGCCCTCCACCTGCCGTGAGCCAGCCTGCCCCAGGGTGTGAGTGTCCTAGGACCACAGGGAAGACTGCAGCATAGTAGACATCCTGCGTGTCTCCTGCCAGAACGCCACATGTCATGACTCTTCAGCATGGGGTCTGTGTCCAGCGTCCCGGGCCTCGGAGCCGAGCGAGTGTCACCATCTTCTCGTCACACCATTAGAGTTTTGTTCTGCTTCAGTTTGGACAGTTTCTGGCTTGTGAACCAAGAAATCCAGTTTCCAGTGGCACACACATGAAGGAGTTCATTAGCATGCACTACCGAACAGTCAAGATCAGTTATGGTTTCATCAACATTCAGCCTGATTTCCCTGCTTTTCTCTTACCTCAGCCTTTCTTTGTATGTTGGCCCAATGCTCAGCTGACCTGCCTCATGGAAATAAGCAGGCTGCACCGGTGCCTGCCATTGTCTTTGTAAGCCACACTGCCCTTCTTCAAAGGAACACACAGTGCCCTCTCTTCACAGAAGCCATCAACACACATGCCTTCTCCAACTGAAACAGTCTGGACCTAGGTTCTGCCACACAGATTCTGGCCTGGTTTGTATGTCATGCTTCAAGGTCAGAAGGCTTCAAGCGGTAGTTATGTCCCTAGGGGTGGTCATCCCTCTGTCATAGGGTTTGTGGAGGAGGAGATTTCCTGTGGAAGGCTCCTTGTTGCCCTGGCTCCCCCATTCAGCTCTGGTCCACGTGCTCAGAGGCCACAAACAATCAATGATCCGATGCATGCAGAGCCTCAGGTTCACAGACCCGCCCCTGCTGTGCTCCTCTGGAGCCCCTGAGGGCTGCTGGAAGGAGGTCCTCCTGAAAGCCTTCTGGGGGTAGAGTCTTGGGAGGGACAGAGCTGCACGGAGAGCTGGGTCAGGGACCCTGAGTTCAGGGAGTGCCATCGTTTGGTACAGCAGATTGGAGCCTGGCCCATGGGACAGAGAGGTTGTTCAGGTCCTGGACACCTTGATGTGTGAGCTGTGGCTGCTCCACGCTGGGGGTGCAGCAGACTGACTCCCAGGTGGTCTCAGGGCCCTGGTACCTGAACCTGGAAGGGCCTGGCAGTCCTCAGGCTGCACCACTTCTGCAGAAGGAAGCTCCACCTGGTCCAAGCCCGGGAACAGCGGAAGCCACAACCTTGTCACTGCCCTGGCCACACCAGGCATCAGAGGCGGCATCCACACAGCCCAGCAGTGACTGTGTTTGCCATTCCCACACCAAGCTCACCTGTGTCCCCCAGACCCTCAGGGATAGGGGCCAGCTCCAGGAGTGGGGGGCCCTGAGGCCAAGGCAGGTAGAAGAGCACTGGAGAAGCTCTTCCTATAGGTATTATTATTATTATTATTATTGGCAGTACTGGGGGTTGAACCCAAGGCCTTTTCACTGAGCTTATTTACAACACTTAAAATCAATTATTTTTTTTAAAAAAATTTGAGACACCATCTTCCTAAGTCACTATGTAGCCCAGGCTGGCCTCAAACCTGAAATCTTTGTTACTTTTCTTGTTGCTAAGACAAAGTACCCGACATCCAGAGTTAAACAGGAAAGGTTTATTTAGCTCACAGTTCATGGAGGCTTCAGGCCACAGTAGGCCAGCTCTGAGGCCAGTGGCCCTGCAGATGGGAAGCAGTTCATGCCCGGCTGACGCCAGCAAACATGAGCAGCCAGCGACCCTCTTTCTGTTTGTTCCTCCTGTTTTGTTCAGCCAATCCAGCCTTAGAAAGTATTTTTTGGGCTGAGGATACAGCTCAGTGGCACAGTGGCACTGTGAGGTTCTGGCAACCATGAGGTCCTGAGTTTGATTCCTGGTACAAAAAAAAAAAAAAAAAAAAAAAAAGCCTTTTTCAAGGACTATTAATCCTTGTTGTTCAAAATAGATGTCCTCTTGCCTTTTTTGCCTCCAGCTGTTGTCCTGCCTTGCAGACAGGAGCTCTTTCTTCCCTGCTTTTTACTGGCTGATACACGATCCTTTCCCCATACACCTGTCTCTTGCTGGGTCTCCAAGTGATAAATATTGAAGCAACCTGAGGGATTGCCAGAACCTCGCTGGGCATGGTGTGTGACACCTGTGACCACAGGACCAGCCGGGTGGGCGCTGCTATTTCTGCTGGAGCAGCCGGGCTCGGTGGGCTTGGCTCCCTCCTGCAGGGGGGTGGGTGTCCCCTCTGTCTCCGGTGAGTCCAGGGCCGATGTGTGGCTCGCAGCATCCATCTGCTTCTGAGGGTTCCAACTTCTCAGCTCTGTGCCTCGGTACCCGAAGGGAGCAGCTCACAGTCTCTCACTCGCTTTTCCCAGGCAGGAGGAAAGGGGTCCTCGGGAGCAAGGAGGGAGAGTCCACCCTGGCTGCACCCCCCCCCCAGTCATATCACCTTCCCAGGGAGGGGGAGACAGGGTTGTGCTCAGCTGAGACAGAGGTGTGACCTTCCGGGCCAGGATGTGGCTCTGCAGGTGGCAGGCGTGGGACATTCCAGAGGGCCTGGATGAGGCTGGGGCACAGTGACCTGCTCCCCTGGGCCTCCCAGAGCCGGAAGTGCAGGCAGCATTTACAGTGCGACTTGGGCAGCATGCACAGGGCGGGGCAGCTGGGGAGGAGCCCGGGGAGATGTCTCACAGTGCCACAAAGTTCGTAAGTCTGGGACAAGTGGGGACAAAGGTGCTCCTAAGAGGATGGGGCAGGGACATCGGAGTCAGGCAGGCACAGGACAAGAGCCAGGCCACAGGCTGCACAGGCAGCAAGACAGAGCCCGGCAGACCTATAATCCCAGCACTCTGGGAGGCTGACAGGAGGATGGCAAGTTGGAATCCTGACTAAGCAACTTGGCACGAACTTGTCTTAAAATAAAAAGTAAAAAGGGGGCTGGACAAATGGATGTGGGTCTTATACAATGAGGCGCTGCTCTGCAAAAAGAAGGATAAACTTGAGACATTTCTAGGAAAATGGGTGCAGCCCAAGACCATAGTCCTAAGTGAAATACACCAGGCACACACGTGCAAATATCACAGTGTCTCTGTGGTATGAGAAACTTAAACTGTAAATAAGGATGAAATGTACAATAGCTACTGGGAAATAGAAAGAAAATGCCCAGAAGGAATGAGGAACTGGGGGGGGGGGCAGGAGGAAGGGAAAAGAAAAAAGGATTAAATAGAAACGAAGCCTTTGTAAATAAGGAGGGGAAATGGGTTGAGGGGAGGGCAATGGGAATAAAAAGAAGACAATCAAAGCCTGGTGTGGCAGGGCACGCTTGTAATCCTAGTACTTGGGAGGCTGAGGCAGGAGGATCATTACAAGTTTGAGGCCAGCCTGAACTACATAGTGAAACTGTCTAAAACAAACATCAGACATCCTCATCGTCTGAAACTAAGATGATGTGCGTTCTACCTTCTTGGCCCGTGACCCCTCTGCAGGTCCGTGGGCTTCCACAGGAGCCCTGTCCCCTGCTGCATGGCCCTGGGTGTCAGGTCACAGATCCTCCCAGGTGGCCTCCTTCCGCCTTGGCCTCTGACCCCACTCTTCCCTGACTGTGTAGCCCTAGGCTGAGGACAGATGGGGTTGCATGCTGTGAGGGGTCCCAGGAAGCTGCCCCAGACCAGTGCCACCCCAGCATCAGGCACCAGCCTGGTTCCCTCTGAGCCAGCAGCAGCAAGGAGGCCTGGCAGGGAGAGAAAACCAAGCCCCAAGTGCCCAGGCCACACGGAGTGACCTCCTGCCTCAAGTCCCTCCCCCCCACCCTGCCATGGCCTTCATCATAGTTCCTGCGGCAACACTGGGGTTTGTTTCTACTTTGAGAGGTGGGGAAACCAAGGCCCGAGAGGCAAACACCTGGGGCTGCTGAGTCTTGGGCTGCTGAGTCCGAGGTCGTGGTGGCTGTGGCATGGCCTGGGGTCAGCCCTTCCTCTGAGCCCAGGAATCAGGACAGGCTTGATGTACTCAGTCCTGCCCCTGCTGTGTTCCCCCCAGGGGTCACAGATCCCACTGCTCTGTGCTTGTGCCCCG